AGGAGATGACGGAGTTGCCGCAACGCCTCATGCGAAAGGTTCATCATCATTGAAGGTGTTGCATAGTTATGGTTCCAAACAGGTAGATGCTCTGAAACCATATCCAAACCTCCGAGAGCTGATTATTTATCAGTATGAAGGCTCTCAACTTCCACGATGGATCACGTCCCCCCTCAACCAACTCACACATATTAGGCTCTACTTTTGTAAAGGCCTTACATCGCTGCCGCCGCTGGGTAAACTACCGCTACTGGAGACTCTTTCGATTGATAATTTATATGAATTGGAATATGTTGGACGAGAATTCCTGGGAATAGCAACAACAACAACATCTTCGTGTTCATCGGGTACTAATAATATTATTGATGGTGGCTTTCCCAAGTTAAAAAAACTGTCATTTTGGAAGTGTCCAAAGTGGAACAAGTGGGAGGACATCACCACTGCCCAAGAAGAAGAAGAAGAAGAAAAGTATTCAATAATGCCTTGCCTCACGGAGTTGATTATCCGTTCCTGCGAGGGATTGACGGAGCTGCCGCAACGCCTCCTGGAAAAGGTTTCGTTGTCGTCATTGAAGGAGTTGGATATTTTTTTTTCAACACAACTGAAACAAGTCTACGGGGACAAGGAGGGTCAACCCTGGAAATCCATTTCCCGCCACAATCCACAGCTTCGCCTCAGATATTAATTGAGATTATTTATTTTAGTTCTGTGCCATTCATCTTTTTTAATTCGATTCAATTAATACCATGACCATTAATTAATTAATTAATTCCTTGTTTTTTTCATTGTACGCATCATCAATATCACTTGTACTATTAGAATAGAGTTAGATAATGAATTATAAAAACAACACTCTACTATTTCACCCTAATCCTAATCCTAATCCTAATCCTAATATATTACTAAATTAAGCTACAATAATAAATAGTTACATAAATATTAATGAAGATCAATTACACATATTGACATATATATATATATATATATATATATATATATACTAAAAAAAAAGGAAAAAAGTACTTACGGAGAGAATCTCCGACGTGAAATCTCATGGTCGAGGCCCACCGGGTGTATATTTCAGTGTCGTTGGCCGCTGGCTGCTGCCAATCTTGAACTCCTCCGCCGCCACGGTGGCTGCCGGAGAAGAACTTGTGATGGCCAGTGTTATGAATAAAGTGGCAAAGCAAAAACTTGTGAAAGAAGCCATTAAAAAAAATGTTAATTTATTTTTCGATTTCTGAGGTTTATATCATAGATATATTTAGTGGGAGGAAGAATTTTTCAAATCCTGGAAGTAACCGGCAACACAAGTGGTGGAGCACGGTGGTTACTGGTTGGTTGAATTCTCTGTTTCTCTTCAATTTTATGCTTCTTTAATTTGCACCTCTATAATATTTATTCTTTTCCAATATATAAAATTAAAGGCGGCCGTTATATGCAAGCCCATGTTTTTATTAGTTCAAGACCTCTAATATAAAAATACTAATTTACCCTTAATGAAATTCAAAGGTAAATAAAAAATACAAAATATTAAAAAAATAAAAAATATATTTCCTTTGTGCAAGACCAAATAAAATACATAACCCTAGAAATCTCCTTTTATTATTTCACGACTTAAAAATCTCCTCCTTCTTCTTCACAAAGCCACCAAGAAACCCTACACGTTGAAATTATCAAATACACACCAAACATTCACGATGGAGCCAGAAAACAATGATATGGTGGTTTACGAGGGTGGAGAACACAAGAAGGTATGTTTTAACCGTTTGTTTTTGCTTTTGGGTCGTTTTCTTTTCGTAAAAAAAAAAATCGACGACACACAAAATCGGTATTTATACACCGATTTTTGTTGTGAAAATCGGCAATTGCAGTCCGATTATTGGAATATAAATCGGTACTCAATACCCGATTTGTGTAGTAAAAACCGGCATGACACAGCCGATTTTGTTGTCTATAACCGGTGTTATCATTCCGATTTAGACTACATAAAATCGGTTTTTGAGAACCGATTTTATTATATATGTTTTTTAAGACCGTTTTCCCGTACTTTCCTGCAGCAACCTAGGGGATTGATGGAGGATTATTCGGATGAATTTTCTACCGAACAAATATTTGAGACACGAGAAGCTCTACTTGAGTGGGTTAAAGGTGTTGGTAGACGCCACGGAATGGTGATAAACACTTTCGTTTCAAATCCGGGATTGAAAGGGCGTAGAAGACCGTATGTAATACTTGTATGCGAGCGTGCGGGTGAATATCGTGGGAAGAAGAAAGCCGGTGAGGATGACCAAGGAGAGGGAAAGAGGAGGACGGGTTCTAAAAAATGTAATTGCACATTTAGATTAAAGGGGACAAAACAAGGAAAGGATGCTGATAATGTTGGGTGGGATTTAAAAGTTCAATGTGGTACTCACACCCACACAGATTTTGAGAACTTGCACGGCCACTCTTATGCCGGGAGACTAACAAAAGAAGAGATGGTACTTGTTGAAGGAATGTCTAAAGCAATGGCGAAGCCGAAGGCGATTCTCAAATCATTGAAGATAAGGGACGAGACGAATGTAACTGGAATGAGGACAATTTACAATTATCGTCAGAAATTGCAATTGAAAGAGAGACTTGGAAGAACTCAAATGCAAGAATTGTTTGCAAGGTTGTCAAAAGATAAGTGTACCTTCTACCATAGAGTTAACAATAATAAAGAGGTAATCGATATGGTGTGGACTCATCCGAGTTGTGTTAAGTTAGCTCGTAGCTATCCGTACGTATTCATCATGGATTGCACATACAAAACCAATCGATATAAACTCCCATTACTTGAGATTGTTGGCTTTACATGTACGCACAAGACGTTCTCCATTGCCTTTGCTTACTTGGAGTACGAAAAGACGGAGAACTACGTTTGGGCATTGCAAAGTTTGGAGAAGATACTTGGAAATTGTCCTCCGCCTAATTGCATCGTAACTGATCGGGAATTGGGTTTAATGAAAGCGATTGGAGATGTATATCCAACCAGTCATCACTTGTTGTGTCGTTGGCATGTGAACAAGAATATATATTCCACCTGTAAAGCGATGTTCTCATCTGAGAAGTTGTGGAATCAGTTTAATAGAGATTGGACGACTCTTATTGAAGTGGAGTCCGAAGAGATATTCAATAGAGATTGGGAGAAAATGCAACGGACTTTTGTTGATTATCCGGATGCCATAGCATATCTTACCAAATCATGGTTGGATCCGTACAAGGAGAGGCTTGTATCGGCATGGACTAAAAAGTATCAACATTTCGGTACTTACACTTCAAACCGGGCGGAGGGTGCGCACTCTCGGCTGAAGAGCGATATGGGCAATTGCCTTGGCACATTTGTTCAGGTGTATGAACATATCAACAGTAGTATTATGACGCAACATGATCACATAAGGGCGTCATTTGAGAAGAGCAAGAATACATACCTCCATTGTTTCAAGAAACCAATCTATAGTGAGCTTCGAGGAGCTGTCTCGCAATGTGCCCTTGACCACCTAAAAATTGAGCTTGATAAAGCCCAAAAGTTGCTTCCAAACAGTGACATGCTATGTGAATGTGCTATCCGTGCAACACACGATCTACCATGTTACCACGAGCTTCGCGAGTTTGTCAAGAAGAAATCTCATGTTCCACTTGAATTAGTAGGCTCCATTTGGAAGCATATGAGTATGGAGCCGGTTATTGGTCAAGGAGAGCTTCCTAATGATGACGAACTCATGAAAGGATGGCACAAACGGTTTGCATCGGCCGATGTAGATGAAAAGAATGAAATGCTAAACAAGTTCAGCGAAATTATATATCCTCAACGAACATCTACAATGGAGCCATCGGAAAAGGCCACCACTAGAGGTCGACCGGGAAAAAAGTTAAAGGTGGTTGATAAATCAACTCGTCGCAACCCATCGAGGCATGAGTATCCACCATCGACACATGATAGTTGTTCTGCTAAGGTAAAATTCGATTACTTATCTTCAATTTTTGGAGTTGTTGATGTTGATTTGATAAATTGTTAATTTTAATATGTTGTCAATAATTAAGCTCGAAGGCGTGACGTGGATTTGTCCTAAAATTTCACGACCTATGAAAGTGGATTTAATGCCGTCACAAGAGTCGGCTAAACCCATTTTATTACGAAAGTTGCCGGTAAGTATTTGAACGTCTTCTTTAGTTTAGCTAAATTTCTTTGTCCCTCTGAACTCCTTACGTTTTCTAATTTGTCAGGGTCGAAAAGTCAACGGCAAGGCTTTGTTTCTTGACCAAATCCATCCAATGTTTCAGACGTATGTAAAAAGTATAAAGAATGTCGACTCGGATGGTCATTGTGGATTTCGAGCGGTTGCATCGATGATGGGTTTCGGAGAAAAGAATTGGGATCGTGTACGAGGAGACATGCTTAATGAGCTATATAAGAACGAAGCAATATATCTGAAGATGCACCGTCGTCGTGAAAACATTTGTGAGTTAGAAACGCGACTGTGTTGTTTGGAAAAATATGCTACAAGAGAGTATTGGATGTCCTTACCCGATATGGGTCATATCATTGGATGTCCTTACCCGATATGGAATCAAGGATTACAATGTTTAGGAAGTTAGTTGGTCAAGAAGTAGCCTTGCAAGAAACCTTCATAGATTTAACATATGCAAGTGAAGACGAGATGGTAAAAGATTTTCCGTGAAACAATGTGATTGATGTACAATCGTTTAAGATAGTTGGTACAATTGTTGGACCCGACTAAACTGGCGCAATACCCTATCTGGATGGTGTGGCTGCAAGAAGTCCAAGCAACATAACATTCCGCTGAACCACGCCGATTCGGGCATCGGGAAACGATCACGAAGTTCGAAATATGGATCCCATATAACCTACGCAAATATGTTTAATATTAACTCCTTCAAAAATCGAAAAAAAAATATTAACAAACAATTGACAATTTACCTCATCCGGTTTCAACTCGTCTAACATCAAACGCAAATGCCGTGCTCGTTCCACACTTGTCGTCGAATTTTTCGGATACACCCATCGATTGGCCAAGTACCCCTCAAACTGTGGCCGAAAGGTTGGATTGAAGGATGGGAAATGCTCGTAAATCCACGCCTGAAAAAGCGTCAAGTATCCGTTCAGTTGCGCAGTTGTAGCCTTCGACGCTTTTGACAACGCGCGATATAAGAAGCATAAACACGCGGTTCCCCAAGCATACTCGCCAATAGTATCCACATTCTCAAGAAACTGCAACCACTCAATGCTAACCAACGAGCCCGTCTTGTCCACAAAAATTGTGCAACCTAAGAGATACAAAAGATACGCCCTAGTAGCGTATAACTTTTTCATCTCACAGTCCCTCGCGGTAATCTTGCCGAAGGTCCGATGTAACCATCCCAATTTCAATGTCCTCTCCCCAGCTCCCATAGCTTCCGAATCAGGGTATACACCTAGCATTTTTGCAACATACGTCTTTCCCCACGTATTAGATTGTCGCAATCGATTCGAAGCTACCGCACGACCAACAACTGGAAGCCCTATCAGTGTACTGACATCATTGAGAGTGATGGTCATCTTCCTAACAGGCAAATGAAACGTGCATGTGGTAGGATGCCATCTTTCCACAAATGCCCTCAATAGATAACTATCTATAGCATTGTACGACGAAGTGACAAGTGGCATCAAGCCGACCCTCGAGACAGCCTCTGAAATGAACGGCGCGCACACCCATGTAACCAACTTCTTCGTGTGGTTATGGGTTCTGAAATCTTCACGCTCGTCTCCGGAAAGTATACGGTAAGAAATGTGATCCTTGAAGTTTGGGATCAAATCTGCTATTTCCGGACCTTGCGATGCGTTCGGTTGACTACACGAAGCACCAACTTCCATGGTCGAGGCCGGTGGGGCGGACAGAGCGAGTGCGGGGGCCGTTGTAGTTGTTGCTGAAGAAGCACCTTCATCGGTCCGAGTGCGTCGACCCGGAGGATTAAAAGGAGTACACCTTTTTTTTGGCTTTTCCACCTTGCTCTTTCGAGCATTTTCCTTTCGTTTGCGGTTTGAGACGGTCGGCGGTACACGAGGAGGTTGAGGTTCCACTGCAAAACATTTAAAAAAATCAATTGCTCAAATATAAAAAATAAAAAAAAATAAAAAAAAAAACGAAAAAAATCGGTATACTAAACCCGATCTTTTTCATCTTTTTTGACTCTATTTAGAGTGGTCCCTTCTTTTTTTTTTGGCGGTTCTCTGAAAGCCCAATAAGAGAAGGAAGAAGCGGCCATCCATCTAGCTACGACAAATCATCCCGACTAAAGCACACCTGGAGCTGCTAAATCTGCGGTACTTCCAACAACCAAATATGGCTGGTGTGAAGCCAACTACCAGTTGCAAGTGGGAAGTTTGTAATCATTAATCGATATTACAACCCAATTTTTTTTTTGTAAAAACGAAGTTCTATAGCTGATTTGTTGAACAAATGTCGGCATCATAACACCGATTTGTGTTAAATAAATCGGTTTGTATAAACCGATTTCCGGAACCAACGAAGAATAAAAAAAAAATCAATTTCAATCTCATTTTTTTTCCAAATAGCCTAAATCATTGCAACCCAACAAGAAATAAGTATAGATTAATGTTCATCCACACATATTTATCAAGAATTTATGCTCGATTGATGTTTTCGTATGTACAAACAAAAGTTTCATAAGAGGGCCTTACTTGTTGGTGGTGGTGGTGATGGTGCGGTGGAGATGGTTTGGTGGTGGTGATGGTGCGGTGGTGGTGGCTTGCTGATCGTCGCCGGCGGTCTGGTGGTGGTCGTCTTGGGCGGTGGTCGTGCGGTGGTGTTCTGTTGTATACGTGCGGCGGTCTTCTTCTGCCAAGGTCTGAGGCAGTTTTTTTTTTGCGTTTTTTTTTTCTTTTTCTTTTGAGTTTTTTATTTTTAGGTTTTGTACAAATAAAAAAGTAGGGTTAATTTGTATTTAGGTATTATTTAAGGATAAAGGTATATTCGTCATCTTTGGTCTTGCTATAATAAAATTAAATTAATTTATGGGTTTGAACTAATAAATCTCTTAATGTGGGTTTGAACTTATAAAAAAATGGGCTTGCATATAACGGTCGCCAAAATTAAATTATGTTATTTAATTCAAATTTTAACAACATATCATGCAATTAGCCCATATTATTTGTTAAATATAGGGGCGGAAATCATATAAGACGGAATGGATTGAAAATTGGAGAAAAAATTCAATTTTTTCGGGAAGTAGAAGATGGGTTCCAATTTCCGTTCCAAGAAAACCGGAATTCAAAAATTCATGACGATTTCGGAATGCCTCGGGATCGGCGCAATTTCGGAAACTGCATTAGTTTATAATCTCTTGTTACAAATTCGAATACAATGGGAATTTTCACAATATTTTTTTTACCTTTTTCATTTTTTTGCAGGAAAATAAAAGAAAATTCAAAGGAGAGTTCGACAAAACGCAATAAATAAAAACACATGTAGGAGCAACAAATTGAAACATATATTTTTTTATAAGAAAAAATGCAACATGAAATTTCCGATACTAATTAATCTTTTATAAGGTTTTAATTTACTTCACCCTCCATTATTTAGATTTTTCATATAAAATAAGTTATATTATTGAACTGCAAAATACATCGTAAAATTATACTATATATTTTGGAAAAAATCATAGAAATATTCCGAATTAAAATTAAAATCGGATCGAAAATCGGAATTTTCAGTAATTTTATATACATAATTCCGTTCCAAATAAATTAAGAAAAATCAGAAATCAGAATGAAAAATACGATTTCAAATTCAGATATTTTCGGATCTTAATTGGCGAATTTGGAAATTCCATTCCGATTTCTAACCCTAGTTAAATATGACTTGACATGACAATGAGACATGTTTTCAATTATAGGTGGTCAAAATAGTATAACTAAAAGTAAAGGGGTTAAATTGATATCAGTCTGAAGTACAAGGAGGGAAAGTTAAATTTATCCAATATTATATTCAAACGGAACTCATCTTCTAAATTTGGACCCTTTCTTTCAGGAGAACCTCTTCCCCACCAACTCCAACAAAACTGTTTTCATCCACAGATTGAATCTGATTTCTTCAACTTTTTCTACATTCTTTTTTTTTTTCCAAAAAAAAAAAGAAAGAAATTCCCAGCAAAGAATTTCCCAATCAAGATTTCCTATCGACACAAATCAAAACCTGTTGGATGCCCAAGATTTTCCCTTTGTCATGCCAAAAAAATTGTGTTGATTGCACAAAAATCTGTTCATGACTTGAATCAATTGAAATTGGCTTCCAACAGATCAAAATCCCTCCATGTAGGAATCCACGCAATCGAAGAAAAATCTCCCATCTCCTGAGGCAAAAACAACAATGCACGCTAGGTGTTTGTGGAATGCTCCCAATGAAGGATATCCTATGGTGGCACCTTCCTGCACCGGTCTTCTCGATTTTCCTAATGCAATTGCATTCCAAGAAACATCCGCTTCCCACTTTTCTTCTTCCCTCGTACGTTGAAAACTCGCCGCGGTCGCAACAAGGTCGAAGTAGAAACACCAACACGAAAAAACACGAATGGCTTATCGTATCTCCGCTAGAACTCAATCGTTGTCGTCTTCACAGCAACCTCCTGCTCAAAGACTAACAAACGAACCCGTTACGCAGAAAACAGCACAGAGCACGGTTACGTGTGTGTACCAAGCACACATTGCTGGTTTTTGGCGTAACGTCACTGTATTATGGAGCAAGAATGTCATGAATTACTCTCTATGTATATCCGTCGAAAGTGTGGATGATGAACAAGCTTCTACGTGCAAAATTGACCTTAAACCTTGGCATTTTTGGGCCAAGAAAGGGTACAAGACCTTCGAGGTTGACGGGAACCAATTAGACGCTTACTGGGATTTAAAATCAGCAAAATTTTCGGGCAGTCCAGAGCCATTCGCGGAGTATTACGTCGTCTTGGTTTCCGAAGAGGAAGTGGTCTTGTTGCTCGGTGACAGCAAGAAAAAGGCGTACAAGAGAGCGAAAGCGAGGCCGGGACTTGTGGACGCCGTGATGTTCTACAAGAAAGAGCATGTCTTTGGGAAGAAATCCTTCTCGACGAGGGCGGCGTTCGATCAGAAGAAACGGGAGCACGATATTGTTGTGGAGAGCTCTACCTCAGGGCCTAGAGAACCCGAAATGTGGATTAGCATAGACGGGATTGTGTTGATACATGTTAGGAACTTGCAGTGGAAATTCAGGGGTAATCAGACCGTACTAGTCAACAAGCAGCCGGTACAAGTGTTTTGGGACGTGCACGCTTGGTTGTTCTGTGCTCCGGGATCCAATCACGGCTTGTTCATATTCAAGCCCGGCGCAGCGGAATGCGACAGTGATTTGGACGAAGAAGACGAGAATAAAGGGGATGGTAGCGATTGTAGTGGGCCCAGCAGATACTACTCTACGCAAAGCTATTCCAAGGCCTCCGATTTCTGCCTTTTTCTCTATGCATGGAAGATCGAGTGAGAAGGAAAAAAAAAACGGCGTGCAAAAATGGGTAAGTTTTTTTTTTTTTTAATGGCGATGCACCTTTATATGTTGTTGATGTTCTTGAGCTCGATTTATGCTGCCGGAATATGCTGATTTTAGAGTTTTTAGAACAGATGCATTTTTCGTGTCGATTTTATGCGATTTAAATACGGCACTGAATTATCTGAATTAGCAAATCATATGGTACGGCGGTATCCCCCTCACGCAACGCACTGTATACGTTCTTGATTTTATGCAATGTTTCTGGTGCTTCGGACAGATACTAAAATGATTATATATAATTTTTTTTCCACTGGCTTTTATCAAGTTCTCGTTTTTGCTGCTTATAGGACGTTGATTTTTTCTGTTCGTAGTCAAGAATGCTCTGAATTTATGTTTTTTCGTATTTTAGATCAGGAAGTTTATTGAAAATCTCTGAATTCGAACGGGGTTGTTTGTTGTCGTGTCGTTGAGCTTTCGCAGTTTCTTTCGACAAACCTACTCTATTGATCGAGGATAAAAAAATGTGTCGATTTCCCATGATCATATTCCGATGTTATTATATGTTGCATAATGAACTTAATCCAATTTTCCTTAATTCCTCTATACAAATCATTTGCACTGATTTCTTATGTTGTACTATGTTAAATTACGTAGTAAAAGGCAGTGCAAGAATCAGTGAATCACAGTCGAATATCCCCAAAAGAGGGAAAAATACAATATTTATCCCGCAAGTTTGCTGTGATTTCACATTTGATCCTCAATGTTCATAAAAAACACATTTGGTCCCTCATATTTAAAAAAATCAACACTTTTAGTCATTTCCGTCAATTTTCCGTTAGTACTAACGGAATCAAGCTTGTGCCCATCACGGCATTAACTGATGAATTAACGGTAAATTGACGGAAATGAGCAAAAGTCATTATTGTAACATAAGGGACCAAATGTGATTTTTGTGAACATGGGGGACCAAATGTGAAATCGGTACAAACTTGAGGGGTGTAAACTGTAATTTTCCTCTCCTAAAAGATTTGCTTATATGTTTCATTTTTGGATTGATTTATTTGGGCTAATGAAAGAAAGCAAAGGCTAATGGCTTAGCCCATTGGAGGAGATCGGGCCCAGCTCTCTGTGAAGAGATGGGCTTTTTGGATATGTTTTTAGTTTCGGCTCAAAAGTACAAAAATAATTGTTTCAAGGGTAAATTACAACTAGGGGTGGCAATTTGGATCCGGTTCCATGGATCCAATTAGATCCGGTTCGGTTCATAAGAATCCAGTTTAGATTAAGTCTAATTGAAACAAATCGGATCGGATCCAGTTGATATTTTTTTAAAACTGGATCCATGTGGATCCACTTTAAATCCATTGAAAGTTTAACCACAAAATAAAGTGCATCATATTGGATCCAACCAAAACCCAATTAAATACCAACACAATTTTCTCACAAAAAAAAGTCAAGATATTATTTTAATTAAAAGTTTAATCGATAAAAAAAATCTCTCTCAGATTTTACCCCAAAAATCTCTCAACCCATCGCCATTCCCCACCTCCATCGCCGCTCCTCGCCGTCGTATACTGCTCCTCGCCGACCGCCGCCGTCAACAACCACCACTCCGCTCGCCGCCGTCAACAACCTGCACTCCGCTCGCCGACGTGAACAGCCTCCACTCCGCTCGTCGCCGTCAACAGCGTCCACTTCGCTCGCCGCCGCCGCACGCCGCTCGCCGCCTTAACAAAAAAAGGGGGGGAATTTAGAGCCACGTAAGAAACAAGCTTGAGATATGCAGTCCTGCCTCTCCAAGAACAATTTTCTTCACCAAAAGTAAATTTTCTTTTTCCTTTTTTCTTAATTTCTTTATATATATATATATATATATATATATATATATATATATATATATATATATATATATATATATATATATATATATATATATATATATATATATATATATATATATATATATATATATATATATATATATATATATAGATATATATACACATATATATATATATATGTATATATGTGAAAAACACAAAAGAGTGTGTGTGTGTGTGTGTGTGTGTGTGTGTGTGTGCGCGTGTGTGTGTGTGTGTGTGTGAGAGAGTGTGTGTGTGTGTGTGT